GGGTTTCAATCTCGGACCAAGTGAAGGAAGCCCTGCCCTGGTGATCGTCACTTTTTGGCCAACCTCGGACAGGGGAGCCCCTTGGGCCCGCTCGCCGCAGGTATGACTCTGGTAACAGATACCTCCCCCTAGGGTTGGGGAGCGCATCTATTGGGCCAACAAGCCCAAGGATATGGCCCCCGCATTAGTTTCGGGACTACCATATCAACTGGCTCGAACTGAGAGCAGTGTACTTAGCACTACCACGCTTTATACCCGTAGTTCGAGACCACAGAGTCCTGCTCCGCACAGGCAACGCAGCGGTGGTCTCCTTCAAGAAGGAGGGGGGGACGCATTCCCCATCGTTGTCAGTTCTAGCGGAGCAAAATCTTCCTTTGGTGCCTGGAATACAATGTGGAGTTAGCCACACACCACCTTCCAGGTGTGAGGAACAGTCTGGCGACGCCCTTTCAGGGCGGCTCCGTCTCCAGAACACGAAGTAGCTGATACCCCAGTGGGTAGCCTCAAGGCTGTTTCGGCTGTGGGACGGTCCAAGGTTGGACCATTTTGCCGCACCCCGGAACGCAAAGCTCCGGACGTATGTAACACTCCTGCTGACTCCAAGAGCCTGGGCCAGGGTCGGGGCTAATCTGCACTGGCTCGGAAGGTTGTAAATGATTAGCTAGTTTGAATTTGCATAACAATACTGACAATGAACGTGCATTCAACGCCACAAGTTTTGTTTTTTTAGCCAATCAGAATTCATCTTCCGAGCCAGTGCAGATCAGCCGCAGGGTCGCTTTGCTAGCCCCGTGGACCCACTTAGTTGTGTATGCCTTTCCTCCCTTCCCGCTAGTTCACCGGGCACCGAAGAAAACTTTGACAGGGGCACACCCGCATATTATCATGGGTTGCACCCAATTGGCCAAGCAAGGCCTAGTTTCCACTTCTGTTGGAAATGCTAGTCGAAGCGTTCGCAGTGCTTCCGGACTTACCGGACCGGCCGTCCCAACTAGACGGCGCACTACCAACGAGCCCAGCAGGTATCACTTACATGCATAGAGGCTCTCAGTAGACCCGCACATATGAAAGCCTTATCTGAGCGGGCTGCCAACGTCCTGGCCAGGGCGAACAGGGATTCCACCTATGCGGCCTACATTTCTAGGCATACACTGATTGGTGTAGCAGAAGGGAGATTGATCCATTCCATCCCTCTATTGGCCAGGTAGCAGGCTCCTTCGTCCACCTGTTTGACGAAGTGGGTTTGTCCTACGCAGCGAGCA